CTATGAATCACCAGGTCTACTTCCTGCAGCACCTCGATGTCTTCGGAGATCTCTGATCCAGCACGGGGTAGCCCTGACCCTGCTGTGATCACAACCTGAGGAAGCATGGCAGGCAGCTGTTAAGAGACCCGAAAAGATTGAATCATTGGGGGTGGGGGGGAGGGGAAGGGGGAACAATTTGCCTGCAGGATTATGGGGTAAAACTCTCAAAAACATCTAAGTGACTTAGGAGCTGAAGTCACAGTGAAAGTCACTTAGGTACTTTTGGAAAAAGCCTGAGGAAAAGTGGGTCTAAGCAGGGGTAGTGTATAGAACAGTGGTCCCCAAACCTTTCATGTTGGGAGTGGGGTGCAGACAAGGGTAAGGGGGCTGAGGCTGGGGGCAGGGCTGGGGCCGGCAGCTAAGGCTGGGGTGCGGGGCTGTGTCTAGGGCCAGGTGCAGAGCCATGGCTGGGAGTCAGGACCACAGCTAAGGGCAGAGCAGGGACAGGGTGCGGCTGGGTGGCCCTACTGGGCCCTCCCACGCAGTTTGGGGATCACTCGTATAGAACTATTTTAAGTACGCCATTAGTGCACGAGCCCTCTTGTGGTGTCCATCACAAACCACCCCAAGCAGCAGTGTGAGCGTAGCTAGGCCTGGCAAGGGTGGGTCTATTTCCTAAACACAACTGTCAATCAACCCAGCAGTGCCCATGGGCGTTCCTTCACGTTGTTTGTGCAAAGAGCAACAGATTTGCCCATTGGCGGCAGGAATGGGCTCCTAACCCAGGCACGCTGGCATGGCCAGTATGTGCAGAGGCCCTTGTGAAATGGGCAAGGGCAGTGCAGCCGCAGCGCTGGGTGTGTGTGAGCTGCTTGTCTGGGGTGAAAGGGGTGATAAATGTCTGGCTGTCTGAGGCAAATGGAGCTGTCTCATAGCTCAGGAGAGCGCTGGCCCAGCGCTATCAATCGATGATGCTGAAGGTCTCGCCTGGGCTTGTTAAAGCCCAATCTGCAGAGGAACGAACGGGCACAGTCCACAGTGCCTGCACTATTTTCATGGAGGAGAACGAGTTGGAAGAAACCACAGAGTCATGCAGGACCAGAATAGAAATAAAGGCCGTTTGGGCCCTGTATAGCACTGATGGGAGAGAGCCAGGGTTGAAGGGGCAGCTATTGCCCCCTGTAGGAGCAGAGGGAATGAATGGGAGGGATCCCTGTCCCTGGGCTCATCGGTTCCTGCAAGGTCTGAATCATGCACTTGGCAAATCTCTGCAGGAGGCGGTTGGCACTCTGTAGGCAGGTCCGGGCAGCCCCTACCTGCACTCTTTCCCCCAGCCACGGGCAGCCCTGGGACAAGCTCCCAAACAACAAACTGATTTTGCTGAGACAGGAAAATCTCCCAATGAGAACAAAGGAGCAGCACATGGATCCCTCAGGGCAAGGGGAGCAGGGAACCAGGGTGTGTTCCCTTGTTGGGGCAGAGGGCATCCTCCTCCTTCCACCTCCTGAGTCCTGTGTGCGGGATCCGGTAGAAGGGGTTTCCCATGGCAGACTCTCACCTTGGCGTCTGAGCTGTTCCCTTCCCCAGTGGGAGGGAGGTGCGGGTCCTGCTCTGCCTGGGATCTTTAGGTAAGTCTAGTTCAGTGGCTTTTCTATCCTTTGGACCTATCCTGTTGACACACACACCCAATGCATGGATTCGCCTAAAGCAATTTACAAGGCTCCAAGAAAAGGAACCTGTTTGCTGAGCAGGAGCTGAGGACTTTTCAGGCTGGATGGAGGCTCTGAGAGAGGGGCTCTGGGCCTTGGTTTGGGGCTGTGTCAGATCATCACAAACTATAAATGCTTTGGACAAGGGTGTTAGAAACAAGCTCTTCACCTTTGCAGGTGCCAATGGAATTGGAGGCAGAGCAAATGCTGAGGACTCGCAGGAGCAGATTCCCAGGAGTTGAAGCTGGGTTACTGAGTGGACAGCAGATACCAAGTTGTGGTCACTGCAGGGGGCAGAGGTGAGAGAATTAGCCTGGGAGCAAGAACCACTCTGGGCGGGGGATGCAGATTTAAATGGTTTGGTCCAAGGATCTCTGGAGCAAAAGGTTAAGGTGCAAAAGCCCTGGGCCCAGAGTATAGCTGCATTGGAACAGGCAAGTTGGAGCTGCAAAGTAGGGTGACCAGATGTCCCGATTTTATAGGGACAGTCCCGATTTTTGGGTCTTTTTCTTATATAGGCTCCTATTACCCCCCACCCCCGTCCCGATTTTTCACACTTGCTGTCTGGTCACCTTAAGCTGGAGTCCTGTTAGCAGAGGGATCAAATACACAATAAGAGGCATCTGGTTACTGCAGGCGCCTTTTAAAATCCATCTGCAAAAGTTAATCCTAATCAGTTGCTCCTATGCCATGCAGATGATCACAGCACGAACCCTTAGCTAGAAAACTGTATCTAGCGAAGGGCTGGAGTGAGAGGCCACAGACTGATGGCATGTTTCCTCTACTCAGTCACCCCAACCCTACCTTCTCCCCCTTCCTAGCGGTGGTGAGACATTGGAGTGTGGCATCCCTCTTACACTGCAGGAGGATCTGCTCCCAACCCTGCAGCTTCACTGCTATAAAAACAGGGGTGCTGGTTTAGTGTGTGAAAATCTTGAAGGGCCAGGTACATTTGCAAGCTGGGTAAGTGCGGGGGAGGCAGCCGAAATGGCCAGTTATGCAGCTGATGCAGGCATTAGCACATCTGGACTGCCCAGGTTTGGAAATACCTAGACCTGGACTTGAGAGCCTATGGAGCATCACTGATTATTAATGTGTGGTTTTTCATGGTAGTTCGTACTATGTGCTTTCCAGACAGACAACTAGGAATGAGCCCACCCCACGGAGTGTGCCATCTAAGGACAGACACACACCAGTAGGGATAATGAGAAACATCAGCTAGTGTCTAGCCAAGATTTGGGCCCTGTTACACATGGGTGCACACAGTGCCTGGCACATGCTGAGAGCCAGTCCCTGCCCCAAAGAGCTTGCAATCTAAATAGACAAGAGAGATGAAGAATGGGAGAAAGGAAGTGCTATTAGGGCCCTTTACCAGTGTGAAACTGAAGCACAGAGTGATTCAGGGACTTGCCCAACATCACCCAGGTAGCCTGCAAACCCAGATCTCCTGAGTCACAAACCAGCACCTTAACCACCAGACCAGACTTCCCACCTCACCACACCCCTCAAGAACAAGATTCCCTGTAAGCCCCACAGCCGAACTGGCGCTTAACTGAGGGCAGGGGAGCGTGTACCAGGCCTAGGGCTGCATGAAGGAAGGCATCGGGCTGCTCCTGTGACTGAGTTCTCCCCAGGGGCAGCACCAGGCACCAGCGCATCAAGTGCGTGCTTGGGGCAGCAAGCCGTGGGGGGCAGCCTGCCGGTCGCCGTGAGGGCGGCAGTCAGGGAGCCTTTGGCGGCATGCCTGCGGGAGGTCCACCGGTCCCACGGCTTCAGCAGCAATTCAGCGGCGGGTACCGGCGGACGTCCCGTAGGCATGCCGCCGAAGGCTGCCTCACTGCCGTGCTTGGGGCAGCAAAATACATAGAGCCGCCCCTGGTTCTCCGCACGCATCCTTTCAGTCACAAGGGCCTGTGGTTTAGATTCAGAGAACAGCAAGACAAGCTGGAACAAACTCCAAGTTTCCCCAGGACCGACATAGGCACTGAACCCGCTCAGCTCCCTCCTTAAAGATTGCAGGGAATTTCGGAGAGTAGAGGCGCTCGCCCTGGTCTCTGGCCTGCTGTGCACAGATTGATTCTGTAAGTGTCTGCATTCCCAGGGTGCAATATGCATCCGGTTGGCCTCGGGCTGTGGAATCCTTTGACAAGAGAGATGGTCTTGAAGTGGGAAATACTCTTACACGCCACACCAAATTCTGGCTCTATGGAAGTCACAGGGAACTTTCCCATTGACTCCAATGCAGCCAGGTTTTTCACCCTCTGATTTCAAAGGGCTTGGGATCAGGGCCCTTGTCTTGAGTTCCATGGCTACAAGTCCTGCTCTAGCATGGCTTCAGCCTGCGGCATTCCCACCTTCCCTTGTGGGCTGTGTTGGCTGGCCTGAGAGCACGACGTAGCACCAAATCCAGATTTCCATGTAACTTCCCCTTTACTGTATTAATGAAAAGCAGCCCAGAGGCACACCGAGAAGCAGCCATTGCTAAGCATGGGGTTCAGTGATCACTCGGGCCCAGGCCCTCACAGGTATTTAGGCACCCAGCTGCCATTGATTTTGGTGGCAGTTGGACATCAAAATAACTTTGAGTATCTAAGCCTCCGTGGGGCCACGTAAGGTGTTTGCAGGAGCTCTGCTTTATTCTGAGTCCGGTGGGATGCCTGCTACCAACTGGCTGTGCATAACACGAGTGCCACAGCGCCCCACCCAGACTCTTTGTCTGGGAAGCTCAGCCCTTAAAGGCACAGTGCCCACTCTAAAAGCCCGATGAGCCTTAACTGGCTTTGGCGGGTTGGACGTCATGCAGCAACATGATCAGTAGAGCAGCTTTGCTCCGTATAAACAGATGTGAATGCAGTGATTGAATACAAGTTTTATTGAACAAGCACAGAAATCTCACATCAAAAATCCACCCTGCTGGGCAGCGTATACTCACGCCCTTCACTGGAGACGATCCTTCATTCCAGCATGTCTGTACCTATCAACAGTCTTAGTGGTGCTATTATGATACACAGAATATACAAGTAATTACACAGATGGAAGCTGGGTCTCCATCCTGCCTGCCCATTATCTACAAGTATCTTACACCTTGGTTCAGTGCTAGAGATTCAAAATCTGCATTCAGCTACACCTGTGCAACCCCACGGCCTTCAAGGTGTAATTGGGGGCAGAAGTGGGCTATGTAATTGAGACCTAGGCCTTGGCTATGGTGGGATTTTAGCCACCAGAGCACCTGTACCAGTGCAGACCCCTAGTGTAAGGCATGATGTGCAGCCAAAGCAGTTTGTACTGGGCCAACAAACCCCAGGATAAACCACACTGGTGTAAATTGTGTCTACACCAGAGGTTTTGCATAATTGCAGCTCTACTGCTGGCTGAAATCCCAGTGCAGACAAGGCCTTAGTTAACAATACTGGTCTTAGTGATGCATGAGCCAGGATGGAATCCAGCTTGCACGCTCTCAGATGCGCTGTCTCAGCAGGGCTGATAGGAATAAAGCATATTTTGTTTCTGAAGCTCTGACTGATCCAAATGGCAGGCAGATCTGCAAGTCAGAAGATGCTGTTTTCACGGAGTCACTTTCAGCCAGGGAAAGCCAACTGTTAAGTGTTTCCAGGGAGAAACATTCGTTGAAATCTGTTCAGCACAGGCTCTGTAACCGCATAGCACAGGCTCTGTAACTGCTCCGTCTCCTTCCACTAAACCTACAGCTTGGCCCTAACAACTTTTTCTTTCCCTTTAAAAACTAACCCCACCTCGAATGGCATCTAAAACCAGCATTTCTTCTTTCCTGTCCATTAGCAGCCAGTCATACCAGCTCCAAGCTGGGTCACCAGAGCAGCAAATACCAAGGAGGGGATGTTAACGCAGAATCCTGGTAGCATCAAGTCCTTTCTGACAGGCGTGGTGTAAACCGTGCGTCACTGAAGAGGGGAGGTGTGTGCTGAAGTGGATGGGTGGGAGAGGGTCCTGTGGAGCTGCTGGCGCTCTCAGGGTTGCTTTGGGTTTGTCTATACGGCTCATGCACTCATTTAACTAAGCTGATTTAGAAGCTAATTTAGTTCCATCAGTGCCACCCCCCCCCCCCCACCATAGACACTCAAGTCCATTTCAGAAGGTCTCAAACCAGTTTCACTTAAGTAGATTACAAACTGTCTTCAGCTAACATGAGTTAAGACCCTCTTACACAGATTTAGCGGTGTGCACCTGCAGAGTTGTATCGGATTAAAATCCCACCTTCGGTGAAAGCAGAACGTGTCTGTGCGTGGCTCAGACCCAGCTCTAGATACCTGCAGGCTGTCTCAGACCTACCTGTGCAGCAGGGCAGGAAGAGCAAAGAAGGGCGAACCCAATCCACTGACCTACATTCCCCGCCTACAGTGAGCACACTCTGCTGTCATCTCACTCCCTGGTCTCTGCTTTCCTCCCTCTGGCTGTGTGTTGAGACAAAATGCAGCTTGCTGTACTGCACAGAGGCAGATGCTCCGGACCCAGGTGACCTAGTGGGAGAAGGACCTGGATTCAGACCCACACTGGACTGTCACATCCTGGTTACGGGGACACCAAGGTGGCGACATGGTGTGGCACAGCCTCATGTGCAGATTTGATGCCATCACGCTGCACCATGTCACATTCCCCTCACACCGCTATGACGTGGCTGTGCATGTGTCACATTATCTCAAGGCATCGTCGTCGTGTGTTTTGTGACGCCTGCTCCAAAGCTGGTGCTGGCTGGATCAGATACAATCTGCTCCGTCCTAACAGAGCAGACCCATGTTCCCTGGCCTGGCTCCTTCCCCCAGGTAGGAGGCTGTATGCAGTGTGCTGACAGCTGAGTCCTTTCCACGTGTGGGGTGGGTGTGCTGGGGGAGAGAAACGGACCCTCTTATTGCTCCCCCCGGGCTTTACCCCCTCAGGGATCTGAAGGGTGAGTTTCACAGCATGTAAGGGCGTCTCCCTGCGCCTACCCCTGGGGAAGGCACCAACACCCTGAGGACGGGGTGAGGAGCTCTGTTCTGCTCTCACTGGAGACCTCCACACAGTTTGCTGCCTCCTCCTATGGCTCTGACTCCATGATGGGGTGGGGGGTGCATTGGAGGTGCCCCCCTGGCTCTTCCACCCCACAGGGGACCACGACTGTTCTGCAGCTATGGGGGGCAGCCCTCCAAAGGCAAAACCCAATGGGAACGGAATCAGGGCATCGCCCCATAAGTCAAGGAGAGCAGTTGTCCTGGCCACCATCCATGGGCCTGGCAGCCGTCACAGCATCCATAACCTGCTGGGACAGGTGGATTTGCAAGGCAGAAACAATGACCGGATCAAAGCCTTGACCAGGTTTGTCATAGCTGGCCCATGACGGGCAGCGACATCAACAAAGTCTGCAATGGGATCGTCCAATGGGAGGAGGATTTAAACACAGACCCCACCCCCTCACAGTTCAAGCCGGAAGGCCCCGAAGTAACTGGCCGCTGTATCGTCGTAATCGATGGCCAGGGACGAGACGGAGACGAAAAGCTCATCACCGGCCTTGAGCTCGAAGAGGCCACCCTGGTAGAGGGCGTGCAGGCCATAGTCTGCCTCGGGTGCCCAGCACTTGGTGCCGACGCCCTTGAGCAGCAGGATGGGCTGCCCATAGGAGGTCTCGCGGTTGATGCACTGTACCAGCTGGTGCCCCGAGACGCGGGCTGCGACGCCCTCGCTGGGGTAGCGGAAGTAGATCTGCGAGTAGATGTAGTACTTGCCCGCCTGGCTCACCCGCAGCTTGCCATCCTGGTAGGTAATGTTCTGGAGATGTGAGTGCATGGTCTTGTCCTCCCACCTGGTGATGGGGTGTCGGCAGGACTGGGAGAGCTCCCCAAAGTGTGCTGAGCTTCCTAGGGGAGAACGCAGGCAGAGGTCACTGCGGGGCTGACGGGAGCAAATAGCATCCTACGCTTGGGCATCAACCTAGCTGATGGGCTTCAGGCATAGATAATAAACAGAGATTGGCCTGAGACAGAAACAAAGCCAGGATCCCAGCCTAGATCAGGGTGGCGGGGTGGGGGGAGAGAACTGCCCAAAACCTGAAGCTCCACAGCTGACGTGGAGTTGCCAACAAAATTTTTCTACACCCCTTCCCTCACTGCCAAAATCCACAAGCCTGTCTTCTAATACCAGGCTAAGGCTTCCCCATTCCTCTGCCCTCCCCCCTGCCTCCAAGCTCCCATGGCTCTGGGCACCGCTGGTATCCTATCGGGAACCCAGACTCACCGTCCTGGGAAGGGCTCTGCTGCCGGAGGGTGAGGTGGGCAGAGGGCTTGCCAGGTGCTCTTGTAGCCAGCTGCCCACTGGAGCTGTTGAAATAGCTCCTCCTGGCTTCTGTGGTGAAATGAAAGGAACAAGGATCTGCAGAGGCTGTAAAGTGTGTGTGTGTGTCTCTCTCTCTCTGACATACATATGCCCCATGGCAGCACCTCAGTGCTGTGAAGCCAGCATGGTGAGACTTGCTCTTACTAGTCGGCACTTACAAGGAAGTGAAAGGCACTTGTGAGCCCTGAGTTCAGGATTCCATGTTCCTCTTGCCACAGATCCCTTAGCCCTAAAGGAGAGAAAGGAATGCAGCTGTGTGTGTGTGTGTGTGTGTGTGTGTGTGTGTGTTAGGGGGCAGGCTGTCGGGGCCATTTAAACCCAAGAATGAAGGCTGGTGTTTGGAATGGAGCCTCAGGGAGTTGGCCACCCACCCTCCATTGCAATTTCCTGGCATTTGAACACCAAACTCTGTTAGCACCTTTGACAAGCCCACCCCATTTTTTCTATAAGAATGTAAGAATGGCCATATTGGATCAGACCAATGGTCCATCTAGCCCAGTATCCTATCTTCAAAGTGTGGCCAATGCCAGGTGCATCAGAGGGAATGAACAGAACAGCCAATCATCAAGTGATGCATCCCCTGCCACCCATTCCCAGCTTCTGGCAATCAGAAGCTAGGAACACTCAGAGCATAGGATCGCATACCTGGTCATCTTGGCTAATAGTCACTGATGGACATATCCTCCATGAACTTATCCAATTCTTTTTTTTTATTTTTTTTGTTAGCTTTTTTGACTGCCCCTGCACATTGGGCTGATGTTTTCAGAGAACTACCCACAATGACTCCAAGATCTCTTTCTTGAGTGGTAACAGCTAATTTAGACCCCATCATTTTATATGTATAGTTTTGGCCTTCACAACATCCCCTGGGAATGAGTTCCACACTGTGCGTTGTGTGAAGTATTTCTTCCTTTTGTTTGTTTTTAAATCCACTGCCTATTAATTTCATTGGGTGACCCCCGGTTCTTGTGTTATGCGAAGAAGTAAATAACATTTCCTTATTCATTTTCTCCACACCAGTCATGATTTCATAGACCTCTATCATATCCCCCCTTAGTCATCTCTTTTCCAATCTGAAAAGTCCCAATCTTTTTAATCTCTCCTCATATGGAAGCTGTTTCATACCCCTAATCATTTTTGTTGCCCTTCTCTGTACCTTTTATAATTCTAATATATCCTTTTTGAGATGGGGCAATCAGAACTGTATGCAGTATTCAAGGTGTGGGTGTACCATGGATTTATATTATGCATTATGAAATTTTCTGTCTTATCGATCCCTTTCCTAATGGTTCCTAGCATTCTGTTAGTTTTTTTGACTGCTGCTGCACATTGCGTGGATGTTTTCAGAGAACGATCTGCAATGACTCCAAAATCTCGTCTTGAGTGGTAATAGCTAGTTTAGATCCTATTTAGATCCCATTATTTTGTATATATAATTGGAATTATGTTTCCCATGTGCATTACTTTGCATTTATCAACACTGAATTTCATCTGCCATTTTGTTGCCCATTCACCCAGTTTTGTGAGATCTCTTGGTAATTCTTCATAGTCTGCTTTGTACATAATTATCTTGAGTAATTTTGCATCAGCTGCAAATTTTGCCACCTCACTGTTTACCCCTTTTTCCAGATCACGTGTGAATATGTTGAACAGCACTGGTCCCAATACAGACCAATGGGGGACACCACTATTTACTTCTCTCCATTCTGAAAACTGACCAATTATTCCTACCCTTTGTTTCCTGTCTTTTAACTGGTTACTGATCCATGAGAGAACCTTCCCTCTTATCCCATGACTGCTTACTTTCCTTAACAGCCTTTGGTGAGGGACTTTCAAATGCTTTCTAAAAGTCCAAGTATACCATGCGCACTGGATCACCCTTGTCCACATGTTTGTTGACCTGACCCCCTCAAAGAATTGTAATAGATTGGTGAGGCATGATTTCCCTTTACAAAAGCCGTGTTGACTCTTCTTCAACAAATTGTGTTCATCTATGTGTCTGATAATTCTATTCTTTACTATAGTTTCAACCAATTTGCCTGGTTCTGAAGTTAGGCTTACCGACCTGTAATTGCCAGGATTGCCTCTGGTGCCTTTTTTAATAATTGGCGTCACATTAGCTATCCTCCAGTCACCAGAGACTGATTTAAGTGATAGGTTACATACCACAGTTAGTAGCTCTGCAATTTCATATTTGAGTTCCTTCAGAACTCTTGGGTGAATCCCATCTGGTTCTAGTGACTTAACACAACAGCCCCAATTCTCCTCTCCCTAACACTGCTTTCATCCTGCTGTGACTCCAGTGAGAGCAGTGGAGATGCTGCTGCTGGTTTGCTTTGGGGTGAGCAAGCACAGCTGTGTGCCAGTGCACCCCCACCAGGAAGTGAAACTGACCAACCCCCCAACCAGTCTAGTTTCACTATCCTCTGGCTGTGCATAAATCCGAGCATTACACGCACAGGAAGGTGGACGTGTAAAAGGCTGTCTGCTCTGTCACAGGCTGCTTTGGAAAATCGAGCCCTTTCCATCAAACTTAACAGGGACCCAAGCTGGCCAGATGGGTGAGATCTTCACACATTTAAAAGTAGATGTAGCCATTTCTATCCACTGTACAGAAGGGCACTTGCCCTGCTCCCTCCTGCCAGGGCCAGAAACTCACCCTTCAGTGCGCTACTGTGGATAATGTTCTCTGTCACCTGGAAGGCAAGAGGAGAGGTCAGTGAGTAAACAGGAGACTTTCCCCAACTCCCTTGTGTCCTGTTGCCTCTTCCAGGGTCCCCAACATCTGTCATTGCTTCTAGTCATGTCAACAAGCTCAATCGGACAATACGCCCCTCCTGGCAGTGTAAAGCACCAGGCACACCCTGCTGCCACCCCTCTGCTTTACTCTACCACTGTCCACCTGGGGAACTCAAAAATTGATAAGTGGAGCCTAAAAATCCCCCTCCCCTTGAGGTGGGTATTACAGATGGGGAAACTGAGGCACATTGGCAGCATCTGCACTAGGAAATTGACTCATTGCTGGCACTGGAATTGGCATTGGTTTGATGGCAAGTGCAGACAAGGACAGACCATGTCCAGCACCATCTCAGGGTACGTCTACACTACGAGATTAATTCGAATTTAGATAATTCGAATTTGGGAAACAGATTGTATAAATTCGATTGTGCGCGGCCACACTAAGCACATTAATTCGGTTTTTAACCACATTAATTCTGTGGTGTGCGGCCACACTACTCCATTAATTTTAACCACATTAATTCGGTGGTGTGCGGCCATACTACCCCTAATTCGAATTTACAAAATCGATTTTGGTGCTACTCCGCTCGTCGGGGTGGAGTACAGAAATCGATTTTAAGCACCCTTTAATTCGAAGTAACTGGCTCCGTTGTGTGGACGGGTTAAGGATTAATTCGGATTAACGCAGCTAAATCCGAATTAAAGTCGTAGTGTAGACCAGGCCTCAGAAACCACATCACAGCCCTGTTCAGAGCAAGGTTTCTATCTGTGCCCATCCCCTTTAACCACATTCAGTTCTGGTTCGGCCACACTCTTCGCTGACACCCATTGGCAGTAGCAGGTAACCCTGTCAGGGCAGGCAAGGGTGGGAGTGAAAGAGGGAGTTGAACTAATTCCCTGGCCTCTCTACCGAGAGGGCCAACAAAGGCATTCCCATTGATAGAGTGGCTTCTGTGATGTCGTCCATGAGATCCTAGATGGAGACACACCAACTCATTTCACATGGGCCACCAACATCCACCAGATGGTACCAACTCTGAGTCCCTCCTGACCTGGGAACTGATTGGAATTAGTCACCTACAGGGACTGGCCCAAGACCTTCTGCTGGAATGTCACCCTTTGTGGTGTTCTAGGGTCTTCCTTGGCAAGTGCCTACCTCCCATTTCCCTTCCCTCCCCCCACCCAGTGTGTGGTTTGTCATGGACTCACCATGGTCACGTAGGATTTGATGCTGCTGGCCAGCTTGAGGCAGGACTGGTTGCCAATCAGTTCCTCCAAGTCTGAGACTTCCTGCAATCTGTTGATCAGCTGCAAACACTTCAGCTCCTCTGAGCTCCCCTGTGTCTGGGCTTTTAACTGGAAAATAAGATGAGTTGAATCGATTAAACAAAGCAGCCTCTTGAGTGTACAAAGGATTGCATGCGTGGCTGAGCTGTAGGGTGCAGAGGGAGGCCTCAGCTGATGTGATCCAGGCCTATGTAAATATGGACTGTTGCTCTTCTTTTTGATACTCGTCCAGAGTAAGCCCTGTGCTGGGCTTGGATGCAGGAACTGAGAATAAGCCTGTGCTTCTCTGATCACAGTGCCAGAGGGGCTGAGATCTTGTGATGTGAATGTGATGCCCGGGTATTAACCAGCCAGTGGACGAGCCAGGAGACCTGGATTCAATCCCCGAGCTCTGCCACTGACTTGCTGTGCAACCTCAGACAAGTCACTTCCCCTGTCTGGGCCTCAGGTCCCCTTGCTAGCTTCAGCAAAGCACTGGGAGATCTACGCATGATGAGTGCTATTGAAGTACAGTTCCTGGAATAGACTCCTGCACTGCTTGGCGCATTAGCGATCAATAGCTGAGCAGTGTTGCTATCTCATGCAATTTTATTGTTAGTCTTGTGATATTTGATGTCTTCATTGAACCTCCAGCTCCTGGAATCATGTGAAAACATGAATCTGACAATCTGGGGAATCCGTGTACAATTTATACATTCTAGCTTGATTTTATGAATTGTCTCTATCCTTATGACTGTTGTCTTTTGTGCGCTGCCTCATGCTCCTTGTGCTAAGGGGAGGGGAGTGGTGCCTACAAGTCTGTCTTTGAAAGATGATGTTGTAGCCGTGTTGGTCCCTGGATGTTAGAGACACAAGGTGAGTGAGGTAACGTCTTTTATTGGACCAACTTCTGTTGGTGAGAGAGACAAGCTTTTGTGTTTACACAGAAATCTTCAGGTCTTCTTCAGCTCTGCGCAAGCTCAAAAGCTTGTCTCTCTCACCAACAGAAGTTGGTCCGATAAATCATATTACCTCCTCCACCTTGTCTTTGAAAGAGACAGTCATTCAAAGCTACCAACTAGTAAATAGACATAGCCCAGACAGAACAATGAGGCATCTGGGGGAAGCCAATTTTCTCCAACTTCTCTGCAGTGGGCTGGGGTTTGGCGTAGTGGAATTTCCCCAGCAGCAGAACCAGGTGTTGGTAGTAGGACTTCTAAACTCAGGCGACACAGAAGCACCCAAGAAGCTGAGGCAGGAGAAAGAACATGCTTTTATAGCAGGGGGATCTGTTTAACTCACTGCAGGACCACCCAAAGTCAAGAGAAACTGACATGGAGGAGAGAGAGACTCCACGATCCAGAGAAGCCGTGAGCTGCAGAAGGATCCTGGACATTCCAGAGAGCTCTGCCCTGAGCCCAGAAAATGCTCAAGCATGGTGAGGAAACGGCGGCAGGGAAACGTGCATGGGTGTTTCTTATTTTGCCTGGATCTGTGTATTTCTTGTGCTAGTTAAAGTAAAGAGTGATTGTGTTTAGAAACCCTTTCAAAACCTGTCTGTCTGCTTTCACTGCTGTGTGCCCCTGAAGAGGTAGCTGTAAAGCCAGGGTCCCATAAAGGTGGTCTCAGGGAGAGAGTGTGCTTACACCCCTGGGTGTCGGCGTGGTGGTGTCAGTGTTGGTCCGGAGGGCCTACAGCAGATGGGTTGCATGGTTCCATTTCTGTAACCTAGAGCCTGTGCCTAGGAAATGTGCCAAAGAGGCCCAGGAGAGAGAGTGCTGGAGGACTGCCCAAGGGAAGGGACGTGGGTCTAGCGTGGTGGGACCCAAACACAGCAAGCTGGTATGTGTCCAGCTGGGGCAGCTCTACTAGGGCTGTATGTGACAGTAAGAATCTGAGCTTTCATTGGAAGGCAATGGGGAAGACCTGCTAAGTTTCTAGCTCTCCTCGTTGCAGGGAAAACATTGAAAACATGACTCAAAGGCTCCAGAGGCAAAGATCCCCATAGCTATTATTTTTTAAATCTGATTTTTATCCCCTCTTGTGATTGTGGGGGGATTTGATTCAGGATTTTTGACCCCCTAGGGCTGCTGGCTTAGATGCATGGGGGGGGGGGGAAGGGAAGAAAGAGGGGGGGTTTCTGTTAAGCTAATGGAAGAGCTGAGATTGTCGGAGGCAGTTTCATGCCATGTTGTAGCCGTGTCGGTCCCAGGATGTCAAAGAGACAAGGTGGGTGCAGTCATATCTTTCATTGGACCAACTTCTGTTGGTGAGAGGGACGAGCTTTCGAGCTTACATGGAGCTCTTCTTCAGGGGGTTTCAGTCAGGTCTCTTGCTCAGATTGCAACCCAAGTCCCAGTGATCAAACCTAGGACGCCTGCTTGTCCATCAGCAAAACCCAGCCTGAAGCCCGTGATGCCTCATCCTGGGTTTGTAACCATGTTCCTCTGTTATAAATGTGTGTATGAACAGTCACGCAATGCTGCTAGGCAAAGCCGCCTGCAGGCCACATTACTGTGGCTGTGTGAATCTAACTGTGGTGAAAGATGCTGGTTTAACAGCCCTGGAGACCAGAGCCTTCCATCCACAGAACAAGTAGAGGCCAAGCAATGACAAGGCGAGGTTCCTGCAGGCTGCCCTGCCCTCCTGGCTCATCTCTGCCCTGGAGGGATCCCTGGTGAACAGGCCTGATCAGCCCCTGGAATTAACTGTTCTCCCAAAACATTTCCGACTGTCTTGGAATCATTTTATTTCCGTGCTCAGTAGGAACAAGGGCAAATGCTTTTATGCTCAGGAGACAAGCTGGGACTCGGCTCCTTGCTGGAGAAACTCCTGGGGCTAAACTTCCCATCACTTATGGCCTGAACCTGCTAGGCACTGAGCACCCTCAACATCCATTGATGTCACTGGGAGTCAAGCGTGCTCAGCACCTGGCAGGAGCTGGCTCTTTGAGCTCTCTTTTTCATCTGCACAGGGCTCTTTCTCCTACTCCAGAGTCTCTGATCCTCCTGCCTGGCAGCCCAAGCCCAGTGTAGTAGGAGCTGGGTGCTCCTTCTGGGCCCACTCTCCTCACAAACCCCAGCCCCTGCCTTAATCCGCCCCTTGTAAATATCTGCATCAACCCACAGGAGATGAACTGAACCATTTCCAGCTGAACACTGCTGCTAGCTATGCCCTCTTGAGACCAGGCATGGTGGTGGGGTGGCTATTTGCTGACATGGACGATGGCTGTGACAAATGAGACCTCGCTCCATTGTTGCAGTGAGGTGCTTGTGCTTAGAGTGTCCATGGAATTAGTGCTGAGACTGATCACCCTGCAGGTGAAGGTCCCCACAGTGAATGCAGCCCATATTCCATTGGCAATAGGGGACACAGCAAGCAAGCAGCGTTGTGGGAAAGACAGCTTTAGTTAGCAAGCGGAGAGGCCCGTGCTACATGCTGAGATTCTAGAGTTTGATGTAGCAGCCAGGCCCTGCTTTGCATGCCTGAGTCCCATCGTCCCTCCTGGAAGTCTCTAAGGTCTGTTCAGTCCTTGCTTGCTGCTGAGGCTTCCAATTAGTGCCACTTCTGATGCAGGACCTAGCCTGAGGCCCCGAGTTATTTCTCATGGGCCTCAGAGGGTCAACGTTTGTGGTTACTCCCCAGCTGGGCTGAATTTGAACCAGTGAGCTAGAGGCAAAAGGCCCCATAGCCTAATTCTAAGCCTCAGCAGCATCCGACCCTGCACCTGTTTGTTAGCCAAAGTGTGCAATGGATGTTCTCCCTGGTGCAGAATCTCAGCCCCTGCAGCACTGTGTCCTTGGGGAACAGATGCCCCCAGCGCTGCAGAGAGGGCTGCCCCTGTTTGGGGCGGGCACAGATTTAGTGTGTCTTGCTAAGGAAATAAAGGAGAAAAGCTGGAATGCAGCACTGTACGGAGCCTACAGCTGTGCTGAGGCTGAAATGCCTGTACATCCTGGCTCATTGCACTGAATGGGCAGCTCTCCCATTGCCTTATTTCCACCAGAGAATTAGGTCAGGCATTGTGAAATTGACTCAGTCTGTAATAAACACCCAGGCCTAGCCTCCCCTCCAGCTGGTTAGATCTGCGGTGTCATGTTATTGTCTCCCCGCTCAGCATGACTCACCAGCCCAGACAAACAATCATGCTGGGGAGAGGTGCTTGGCTCACAGCCCTGGAGAATGGAGTCCTCTAGCTGCAGGGCATGTGTGGCCACCCAGCAGGCCAAATGTCCCTTTCACTGCCAGTCTGCCTCAACCCTGACCTGCAGGGATCCCCCACTACTGGCGAGAGGGGAGCTGGGTCACGGGAACAATTGGTCCTTGGCCTCCCTGCTCAGACTGCCAACCAGGGGGCCTGGTGAAGGGGTGGTTTTGAAACTGGGCTGGGGCCTGCCCTGCCCCCCAATTCATTACACATGGGAAACCAAACAGCTGGAGAATTAAAATATTGTACCCAGCATGGTCCTTCGGGCATCCCTGTAGGGATAGTTACCCACCTAGGCAGCAGTTCAGTGCCCAGTCCCTGCTGGCTTTCCCCCAGGCTGAATCCTTTGTCTCATTCTAATCCTGTAGGAAGCGGGAGGGTTTCGTTTAGCTGTTTCTGTGCCCTTTAACTAGCCGCCGGGTCTCTCTTCTCACTGTGAACTCACAGGGGCAGGGGACTGCAGTGACATCTCCTCCAGATCAGAGAGACTCTTGTAGCTGGCTCAGACTAAGATCTGGCGTACAGTGAAAAGTTAATATAGGCACACCCCTGACCAATTTAGTTATGCCGCCATGACCCCCAGGCTAGATGCAGCTGTGACAAAAGAAGAATGTTTCCATCAACACTGGTAACTTCATTTGGGGAGGTGGTGTTCCTACGCTGCAAGAAAAACTTCTATTGGTGTAGGCTGCATCTATACTGTGGGGCTATAGCTCTGTGGGTCAAGTCCCCGTAGTGTAGATGCATCCTAAGGACTCATGAATAAGCAGTAACTTAGGATGTAATTATCCAGCTCTTGTACATTGCTAAAATATTGAGTAATTCTCCAAAACCTACTGAAGAATGTTGAATAGACTCAGCACTTTTCGGTAAACACATCTTTATCCCATGGCATGTGTCCCACTACCTGTCTAGTACATTTCATACAACCCTAGGAAATGAAAACTTCACGTATCCCGGGGCAGGGAAAGGACACCAGCTTCTGGGAAAATGAAACAAAGCAAGTTCAAAACGCTTCCCACGCCATTCCAAAACCGCTCTGTGCAGCTGCCACAGGCCATACTGGCCAGAATTGTCTCATTCTTTCCTTGGGCAGCCCCCAACTGTCTGTTTTTGTATCCCCCCCTTGTCTCTCATCTTAGATTATAAACTCTTTGGGGCAGGGACATTCTTTGGGTGCTGTGTTTGTATACAGCACCTAGCACAATGGGGCCCTGTAATAATAATAAATAATTATTCTCCCCCTCGCTGCCAACATACTCACTGATCATTACCACACTTCTTTCAAAAATACCCCAACCCAACCCTGGTTTAAGATGGATGGATTCTGATCTCACTAATGCTGCTTTTACATCACTGAACTCCAGCGCTTAGTTTGTAATGAAAGGGGTACCGGGGCTCCAGCCATTTACTTTCAAAACTGATGTAGCAAGTCCAGAGGTGTCGGGGCCGTGAACTGCCAGGCCCAGAGATGTTGGGGCTATGAACTGGCAAGCTTAGAGGTGCTGGGACTCAGCTTTGTCAAGCCCCAGCTCAAATGAAGCTCTGTTGAACTCCATTGCCTTCCAATGCCTAGAATAAATCTGCCAGCTAATGATAACTAGAGAGAAAGATAGAGATAGCTAGCACTGATTTTCTCTGTATATGATAATGATCCACACGTGCTATTGTATATCTCCCTATAACATTATACATATTTGTTTGTGTCCCTGTCTCCTCACCCTTTCTATGTAACTTGGATTCTGTGCCCCTGAGGCTGTAAGCTGTTCTACACAGATGGTTTCTGGGCCAGCATGAAGTAGACAGTGCTCAGCATGGGCAGAGGGGTATGCCTGTATTGGACGGCTTGCAGGATCCGGGTCTTGGATTGTAAACTCCTCGGAGCAGCTCCTAGCACTGTGGATTCAGCTTTTGATTGGGTGTACTGGATGCTACTCAAATAAAACTGTGTAATAGGACTGACACTCCTGGTGGGAGAGGAGACTTGGGCTCAATGTTTGCGCAGCCCAAAGTGTAAATGCCAGATTTGAGGGTAATGTTTTACATAAGGTAATTGGTACAATTTCCAGTGGAGCTGAAGGCCCCATTGACTTTCAGTGAGACTTAGGCTCCTGAGTGCCCAGAGTTCAGGTATTTAGGTGCCTAGTGGAAGACACAAAAATGCTTAAGCAGTGTAACCAATGGGAGTTAGGCACCTACCCTGCTTAAGCACTTACATTTGTCAATCTGGTCCTAAATCACTTTTGAAAATGGGATTTAGAATCTTTAGTCACTTGGATGCTTTTGAAAATTGTACCCAACCAGCATAAATGATTAGTCACTACTCCAAACTGATTTTCCAACACCTGTTAATGGTTACTGTCAAATGGGTTTAGACACGTGGCGGGAACAAGTACAATGGATTCTACAGCTCTTCTGCTACTAGCAGCTTTTTTATGGGTTGTGAACAGCAGCAGCAGCTCAACATTTTAAATCATGCAGACGGCTCCCTACAGTCTAGCATCTGATGGGAAGCTGAATTAGAGAAAAGCAGTTTTTTGACGTGGCTTATTTATTATGTTACATGTTTTTAAACTGTTGCCTGCACTGAGACAGATTTACTGCTTGATGCTGCCTTGTTTATGCCCTTAACTCCCAGTGAAGTCAATGAAAGTCCTGGGCCTGCAGGCAGTTCAGGGTCTGGTTCTTAAGGTCTCACCGAGTTCCCATTGCCAGATCAGATCACTGGCTCATATAGTGCAGTAGCCTGACTCCTGACATTGCAGATCAGACCCCTGCTCCACAGAGGGTCTGATCTAAAGCCCAACTGAGTCAACAGGAATCTTTCCATTGACTTTAATGGGCTTTGGATTAGGCCCCTAGTCAAGCAGCCCCTGTCTTGACATACCAGATCACAGGGTACTGACTCCAACAGTGGCCAGTACCCGATGCACTGAAGAAGACAAACCCCCTCCTCACCCAACACCACCATATATAGGCAATTGTGCAATGATGTTTGTGGGAAGGGGGAAATTCTTCCCTGTCTCCTGCTGGGATAAGCTGGAGCCTGGCACCCAGAAGCATGAGACTGAATTGCTCCTTATCTTTGGTCACTTAGCCATAAAAGTTCATTTTCTTCCTGGTAAAACTCTGCTCTCTATCTAGTCTTTCCTGGGGTCTTCATCACCGTAGCATCTAAGCACCAAACACACAATGAAGATCTCCATTCCCCATCTTTTCCTGAATTAGCCTTATACTGTTGTTTAATAGGAGGTAATTTCTCTCCCTCTCCCCCTCTATCCAGGGGAATAAGACTGGGTCATTCCTCAGTCATTGTTATCAGCAAAGCTCTGCATTCTACAAAATAGGTAGATTCCTCCAGGTCTGTGTTGATCCAGACACACACAAAACCCCTTCATTCGGTGGGATTTGCCTATTCCTCAATTTGGCAAGACAGTAATTGATGCAAAAAAATAAATCTCATATTTAAAAGGGAAAAATATGTTGTGCCTGCTTGTACAAAATGTCCTGGTTCCATCGGGGGTTGGAGTGGGGGGTGCCACAAGGCAAAGTAGCAAAGGTGGCACCTCGCTCTATGTTTAGTACCCATCTAAAGTGGGTTTGAACTGGTACATTGCAGCTCAGAGCCAGGCAGAGACCTGCGCTGCAGGGACTTATGCGAGAGAGAACAATAGTTTCGGGTTTGATCGTTATTAAGGCACCTTGCGTTTTCCTCTAAGGAAGGTGGAGACGCTTTCAGTTTCTTGTAAAGCTGTAATCGCTTTATTGGCATCGCTCAAATCACGGCTGGGATAATTAGGGAGCCCGCCCAGCCACTGGGGAAAAGTGTTGCCACATGCACAAACAAAACCAGGAGCTTTGACTACAAGATCCCGCTGCTAAAAGTGTGCAGAACTTTGGCCAGAGAGGGAGAACATGCAAATCAAGGCTGCCCTATTCTTTCAGGGACCTGTGTTGCTTTCAGAATTACATCTACGCCTTTAAGAGGAGCTGCATCGCTCACCTGAAACGATATTTTTGCATTGATCAAGGAAGCGATTAGTCACATTTTCAAAGCTTCCTATAGAAGCTCAATGATTCAGTCCAACGGGAAAGGGGATGTGTAGCAAGGGGTTGGAGGCTAGTTCACATGATTTTCACAACTGCTTTGAATGCATAGCAAAAGGAGACCTCTGGAAATAAAACCCTCCTTGACTGTGCCAGTAGCTTTCTTAAGCAAAACCGTATTTTTGAATTTAAAATCACCCTGAAAAGAAACCAAATGTTGCACCCGAAAGAGTTTGCAGTTCACAGCTCTTGTTGCTAGTACATCTGAATCTCCCCGAAAGTGGGTTTAAAAGCTGAAATGCACAAAGATCTCGCCTCCCCCCTTTGCAAACCAGAGCGAGTGAGTTTCGGTGCTACTACTTCTGACCTGGCCTCACCTTGGAAATCGACATGGTGAAATACACGAAGAGCCCCGTGGTAGAGGCGATCTGCAGAGCCAGGATGGACATCACAGCCATGGCGATCCATACCGGGCTACAATGCTTCTTTCTCCTCTTCCCGGAGCCTGGCTCGTCCTTGTGCCCTGCTCCGGACCCCATCATGCATGCTGAGGAGTCGCTGCTATCCGATCGGAAATACTGCTGGTTATTCTGCTGCTGGCTGTCCATTGCATTATATAAATATCCCAGAAGCGAGAGCCCTGGTTTTACTTCCCCTCTAAGCCCCTTCTGGGTCTCTCGGATCCTCCTCCCACCTTCCCTTCCTCACACACCCACACAAGGAAGCAAGTTTAGAGAAAAGTTCTTGCCTCGAGAGAAGACTTCTGTGTGTGTGTGGGTGGGTGGCTGGGAGGGACAGGCAGAGCTAAACAGCTCCAGTCTCTTTCCAGGCGGTATTTGATTCCCTGCCATATCCTGATGCTAATCGAGTGTAAAGTTCAGTTCACCCTATAAACAAAGGCATCGCCGAGACACAACACGTGGAGACAGCCTCCACTCTCTGCCTGCCAGTCATTGTTTAAAATCCTATTGTTCCTGTGAGACATAAAACCAAGGACTTTACAACCTGTGATCTTCAGGAATGCAAATTTCTCTAAGAGGATGGCTTCTTAGCTGCAGTGTTCCCCTCCCCAGATTCCTCTCTGTTTCATTGGGATGTGGGACTCTTCTGTCCTTATTCCTTCCCATCCCAAATGGTTGTCTTTAAGTGAAAAGTTAAACAGCTGCTGTGTGTTGCACCCCAGAGGTGGCTGCATTTCAGTAGTAGACGAAATTATCTCCATCCTGACTTGCAGAGGAGGGAATGAGCAATTTACTCAGCCTGAGAAAGAGCTCTGTGAAGCTCAAAAGCCTGTCCCTTCCACCAACAGAAATTGTTCCAATAAAAGATGTTACCTCCCCCACCTGGTCTCTCTGATTTCCTCAAATTAAGTAGTTCTAATGGATCTACTTTTGGGAATAAAAATTACTGGGGAGGTATCTGCAGCATTGAGCCCTTAATTTGTTTTGGGGCCCAATCTGCAGTATTGATGTAAACAGAATTCCTACAGAAAGATGTGCATGTTTTATTTGGATAGGGACTACAACATCAGGCCTTAGATTTCTAAAGTGCTTTAGGATTCCTGGTGATGAGGAGAGCCATATACATATAAATAAGAATAATTATAATGAGAGTAAATGCTACAAAAATAAGCTTTAAAAAAACCAAGGTATCAAAGTAATACAAAGAGCATAAAGTTTGAAAAAGTAAATACAAATTACTAAATAAAAGGCGAAGTAACTGTTTAATCTGAGTACCTGGGCCATCGGAAGGAAAGGGGTCCTGGTGCATGCCTGTACTGAGGCATGTGAAGAATGGAAGTGAAAGAGGAGTTAGGGAGGGTAGGCACTGAGAGATTATAATTAAATTAGAAATGCCATAGTGAAAGCACATAGACAAGCCCTTTGGGCAGTGATTTGCATTACAGGGATTGGACATTAACAAATACGTTAGAGTTTGCCAGCTGGGGGCATGTTTTTCCGTCCCTGAAGCTATTAAAGATGCCCTAAAAAATTAGAGGCAATGACAGTAGATAGGGAACTGGGCTAGGAGTCAAGAGACCTTGTTCTGCCATCAACCTGGCGGCATAGCCAGGACATGTGGCAAGTCACCTCAGCCCAGGTGGTCAAGGGTATTTAGGTGCATAACTGCCATGGGGGTGAGGCACCTACATACTTCTGTGGATGTGGGGCCTTCTCCTCTGTGTGTCTCTGTTCCCCTCCTGCCATTTGCAATTTAGACTGCAGGTAGGGACTGTCTCTCACTACGTAGGCACAGTGCCCTCCAGAGCCTGAGCTTGGGTGAAGCCTGTGTGGAAGTTGGGAAAAGCGCAGACATCTTAGTCTTCCAGGAAGAGCAAGAGTCAGGCTAATTCTTCTATTTAATAACGTGAGACTTGAAGGCCTAGGCAAATGGGAGCAGACTGTAAGAGATACTGTTTTGACCTTGTGTTAGATAAGAATGGAATGTAGACTGTGGCAGAAATTAATGAGAAAAAGTGAAATATCAGGAAGGAATATGTATAAACAAAATGTAGCCAGGGCCACCCGTGGGGGGGGGGCAAGGGGGGGGAGATGGGAGGGTAAGTGGGGCAATTTGCCCCAGGCCCTGAGTCCCACAGGGGCCCCCATGAGAATATAGTATTCTATGGTATTGCAACTTTTTTTTATGGAAGGGGCCCCCAAAATTGCTTTGCCCCAGGCCCCCTGAATCCTCTGGGCGGCCCTGAATGCAGCTGTTGATCATTACTGTATGTGACAAAAGGTATATGCTTGCCTTAATTGTTTATCTAATGGACACCTGCCTTGGGAGGGGAACCCCTGCCCATGAGTACTCTCCCCTTCCAAGTGTCAGGAAAATAAAGCTGCCTCTGGCTTGTTGCTTCAAACTCAGAGTGAGGACTCATTTTTCTCCGACACCTGTAAGTAGTATTGTAAGAATAATGTGACAGAGTGGTCAGCATCCCTTACAGGATTAGCCCTTCAAACGGAAACTACAGAGATTAATTGTCTTTTAAATAGTGAGAAATGTACAAACTGGAAACCTTCCGAAACAGGTTTGCCCTTTTCATTGTTAACTAGGGGAGATAACTCACCAGGCAAACACATACACAGAACAATCAAACAAGCAGGCGTTTTTTTTCAATGCCCTTCACGGTTTCACTCTGTCTGTTACAGTGGCTGGTGATGTCTCCTGCACCGAGAGCTGCCATGTTCCTGGTACTTTGTCAGAATGAGTTTCCTGGTGGGAAGAAGCTCAATGGTTAGGACATAGGAGATACCGCTGCCCGTTGGAATGCATAGGCAAATAAGTCATTCAAAGGTGTGGTAAGATATGTTCTACTCTTTTAAAAAAGAATCTAACCTCCCTTTTCTCATTCATTTGCATAATGAACTGCATTGACTCATTAACCTAGGATTTCAAGCCAGCAGCTTCCTATTTGATCGCTAATTATTTATTACAAGCTCTTTAGGCCAGGGACAGTCATTTACTATATGTTTCTATAGCACCTAGCCCAGTGGGGTCTGGGTCTGGTTGGTCAGTAGCACTACCACAATTTAAGTGTTTCTTCTTCTTCATGATGTATTTCAGAATTATTTTTCCATTATTTTCTCTCTTTTATAAATCTATGTAGTGATCAGACTCTCTTGTATGTTATGCTGGCGTTTTCCTTAACCCTAGTTTCTATTTGGAAATAATCATAATTCGGCTGTGTCTCTGCTGCAAGGGGTGTGATTTGCAGCTCCTGTAGACATATCTGTCCTGGCTTTAGTTTGGCTAGCTTGATAAAATAGCAGTGAGAACAAGGTGGCATTGTCTGCAGTGGGAGCCTAGCAATGACCAGGAGGGTGAGGCAGCCTTGTACAGCCTACACTGCTGCATCCTTCTTGTTGTTTTTAATGAGCTAGCTAGATTAAAGCCAGAGCAGGTATGTCCAAATGGGCTGCAAATTAAACATCCGGGTAAAGTGGAGACATAGCCTTATTCAGCTCCCAGAAGTATCTGGGGACTTCACTGATGTCTCTGACGACAGCTGGTAGTGAAGGCAAAGCATGACTCTACCTGATCAATGTCTAGCATGCAGCAGAACAAGAGATGAGGGAGGAAGGATGGTCCTGCACTAGGAGTTGGGAGGTTGACTGTTATTTATCATTTGTTTGTGGTAGCTCTCGTAATGTGCTAGGCATCTTGCAGACACCCAAGAAGGGATGATCCCTGCCCTGAGAAGCTTATGGTATAACCATGGGTTGAATTGGGGATCTACACTTTCAATTTCTTTAGCTCATAAAGAATTATATTATAAATTACTGTATCGATTGCATTTGACTTCAGTTACAATCCATCATATTTTTGCTACTAGCAAGATGCTCTGTTGGAGGGATTATGGGGAAAGGGGAACATACTTGCTCATGTGGTGGTTGTGTCCCGAAATTAGTCGGTTTGAGTAGGAAATTATTAAAGAGATTCATCTTATAACTAAATGCCAGCTTCCCAGAGATCCCCTGACCCTAATGCTCCAGTAAAGGAGCTACATTTTAAACAGAATGACAAAATAATTTCTTTTTTTATTGTTAGCAGCAAGACAAAATGTGACTTCTCCTCCTATTGAACTGTGCTATAGTAAAATATGGACTGTCCTTGTATGGGAAAGCTTTCATACCAAGTACATACACCAAGTACGTACAGGTCTGTCGCATCTTACACACATTTAACATGCGCGATTTCAACTTTACGCGGTCGGCAAAAACAAAAAAACAAAACAAAACAAAAAAGAAAAACAACAGTTTTAATACTATACCTGTAGTGCGGGCGATTTCGCCTGCCATTGAACCCAATGGGGTTTTGGCTATACGCGGTTTTCGCTTTACGCGCTAACCGCAGAACGGAACCCCCGCGTAAGATGAGACAGACCTGTACACAAGTGCCAAAAAGGTGAGTCTCTTGCACCAACAGAAGCTGGTCCAATAAGAAATAATACTTCACCTGCCTTGTCTCTCTCAAAAAGAGGACAGGTATATAGAAATTTGGTCACCCTTTTAGCGTACTCAGAGGAGGAGGACTTCCCAGCTAGCAAGCCAGAATCTTTAGCCAGGTTATTTGAATATTAACCTGAACCTGAATAAAGTAATGTACAATGTAGTATAGAAACATTATATTGTAACTCTATATTAATTAAAAGTTTCCAAAAGCCCCCTCAACTATGGGTTGTGTTACATCCAAGTCCCTGCCCCGGTCTGTGCCTCAGTTTCCCCATCTTTCCAGTGGGAATGATCCACTCATCCACCTCCCTAGGGGAATTATGTGGCTGAATTCATTGATGTTTGGGCGGTGCTCTGTGACCTTCAGACAGGAAGCGCTAGAGAAGGGCAGACAGTGATAAAGGTGACTCTATATGAGTGACTCTGCACTGTGTCTGAACTTGATTTTCATGGTTCGGTCTTGCAGTCCTGCCGTGCAAGACAATTAGTCCTGAATTCATGCCAAGTATCATCTAGTTGCATCAGTAATGGGAATTATTTACTCATTTACTCTCAAATCCATTCCTACATCGACCTGTTTAGGCACAAGTTACCGAGGTTTTAAAGGATAACTGTTAGCGAACTATCCCCGTTTGTGATCTGGGCTCTGCAAGTTCTAAGAGCTGCCACCCTTGGTTTCACTTGAAGCGCTTATGACTTATGTCTCTGATTCCTCGCTGAAGTGGCTGTAGCCTCCTGCCTGCACACTGTATGTACACCTCTACTTCGATATAACGCTGTCCTTGGGAGCCAAAA